AAAATCCCGTGCAGAAAATGCCCCACTTTGCCCTATTTAAAAAAGGGTTCTGGTCGGGGCCTCGACAGTTTTCCTTGTTTAAATAAAGTGTAAAAAATTAAATCTCTAAAATTACTTTTAATAAAAAATAATGAACAATTGAAGAATACAATTAAAGGGAGTATTTATACTATCGTTTTAATAATTTTTTTATTTTGTGGGTTTGACCAGAATTTCTGGCCAAAACCCCAAGTGATGTGTTCACTAGATATTAAATAGGGCTCTGATCAGGGCCTCGACAGTTTTCCTCGTTTTAAAAGCATGTAAATAAATTTAATTTTTTAAAATTAACTTTTTTAAAACAGTTATTTAAGTTAAAAAAGCGTGTTCTTTTAAAACACTTTATAAAATAATTATGGTAATATATTTAAAAAACGAAAATACATATAATTTTTTTTTCTTTATGTACAATATTATAATAAAGTTTATTTATTAATAATAACAACTAAATTATAAATAACGAATAATAATAGTTATTAAATAATTAATTATTATACATTTATTTAAAAATAAAAATTATGAATTTAAAAAAAAAATTAATAAACAATTATTAATAAATTATACTTAATGAATTTTAATAATTATTAATTTATGGGATGAATTTATCATTTGGTTTGTATATAGGGGAATGTAGTCAAGGTTGGTCTACTGTCTAGGTAGGCCATCGCGATTTTTTGGACAAGTTCACTAGCGCCACCTACACGCATGCTTGTCGAAGCTTATCTTAGTGTAACCTAACTTTTTGTTCAATTACATTTTCGGAGGATCGAAAATTGTGTTTTCTGTGACGTCGGTACAAAAAAAGCTCAAAAAAAGTTTTGTGCATAATGTGAAAAACCATTAATAAAAGATAAAAAACAAATTGAATCGTCAAGGCAAGTATGCAGAAAATTTGTGGGACTCATGGTTGAAAGGAAAACAAAGTAAAAAATCGAATCCCGAAACGTATTTCTTTATGGTTACAACAATTCGGTAATGTTACTTACTGTCAAGGTCGGCCACTATGTGTTTAAAATGCGCAAAGTTGAGGACGAGCTACTTCATTTGCAAAAACTGCAATTCTGTATAACTCATAATATAATTGATCATCTTATTAATATTTTTATTTAATTTTATTAATATTTTAGTGCAGAATTTTTTTTTATTTATATTTATTTTTTTATATTGTTTATTGTTATTATTTTGTTATTTTATTAAGTTACAAACTGTAAACAATAAAGAATCAATATTCCGTAACTCCAAACATGTTATTTTATTTTTTAACGATTAATGCCCTTTGAATTTTAAACATGGCCGACCTTGACTGTAATGGCCAACCTCGACTACAAATTTTTTTTTTTTTAAATCTTTATAACTTTTTCATTTTAAAACCAATCAATTTACTTTGTACAGAAAAGATGTTCCTATTAAACAGGACTTTCCAACCATATACTTCAATTGTCCAAATTCATTTTTAAAAAAAAGTTATAAACAAAAGTCAAAAAGGTGGCCGACCTAGACTATGTTCCCCTATATTATATTATTTTAATAATAATTATTATTTTATATTATATTAGGTTAAAGTAAGAAAATGATTCGGAGAGATTGTTAAATTTAACACCTTCAATATTTAATAACTATTTTTTAAACGTAATTAATAAATTTGAATAAAATATTTATTAAATAAATATTAATTATTACTTATACATTTGAAAACAAAAATTATAACCTTTATTAATATTATAAAATTAAGGAGGCAGAAAGGAGCGACAACCTCCAAAAGAAAAATAAATTAATCACACAGGCACACAAAAAAAAGTGTCGTGGCCGAGACACTACAGTAGTATATTCCCATGTATTTTTGGCCGCTGAATCCGAATCTGAAGTCCGAATGCTCAAATTGGTTCTTTTTTTTGAGTTATACTCAAAAAACGACTCAAAACACGAATTTGAACCAAAAAAATTAAAAAAATTTTTTGTGACATGACAATAGCATATTTCCATGTATTTTTTCCCGCTGAATCCGGATTCGAAGTCAGAATTGACAGATGTGCTCAAAATTATGAGCTAAACTCAAAAAACCGAATTAAAATGACGAAAATGAAAAATTTTTTCTGTGACACTGCAAAAGTATATTCCTATGTATTTTTTCACGCTGAATCCGAATTCGAAGTCAAAATAGACAGATTTGCTCAAAATTTTGAGATAAACTCAAAAAACCACTCAAAAAAAGACGCAAAAAACCGAATTAAGATGAAAAAAATTTTTTATGACACTACACTACTATATTCCCATGTACTTTTTCCCGCTGAATCCGAATTCGCAGTCAGAATTGACAGATTTGCTCAAAATTTGAGATAAGCTCAAAGAACTGATAAAAAAGCGATTTAAAATAAAGAAATGGAAATTTTTTGCTATGACACTACATTACAGTATTTCCATATCGGATCTCGCATTTAAAGTCAGAATTGACAGATTTCTGACTGATTTGCTTAAAATTTTGAGATATACTCAAAAAACTGATAAAAATGTAATTTCATATGAATAAAGGAAATTTTTTGCTATGACACTACACTAGCGTATTCCCATGTATTTTTTCACTGTGATTCTAAAGTCAGAATTTTCAAAGTGGGTCAAAATTTTGGATTTCATTAAAAGTGCTCAAAAACATGCATGCTTGTACCTGTAACCAGGGTTTGAGTTCTAAAAAATTTTATGTCATTCTGATAATTCTAACTTCGAATTTGTATTCAGCGTATATAAAATTCATGAGAATACACTACCGAATACCAAAAAAATGAACTCTTTTGCATTATATTAAATTTTGAGCATTTTTGGATTTAACTTAAAATTTTGAGCCAATTTAATAATTTTAACTTTGAATTTAGAAGCAGATGTAAAAACATGAGAATATACTAATGTAGTGTACTAGCAAGAAAAGTAGAGTTTCTTGACTTTAATTTTTGTAACTTAACAGATTTTCTTGTGTGTCTCAGAATTTTGAGCCATTAGAATAATTCTGACTTCAAATGCGAGATCCGAGTGTAAAAATATATGGAAATACTGTAATGTAGTGTCATAGCAAAAAATTTCCATTTCTTTATTTTAAATCGCTTTTTTTATCAGTTCTTTGAGCTTATTTCAAAATTTTGAGCAAATCTGTTAATTCTGACTGCGAATTCGGATTCTGCGGAAAAAAGTTCATGGGAATATAGTAGTGTAGTGTCATAAAAAATTTTTTCATCTTAATTCGGATTTTTGAGTCTTTTTTTGAGTGGTTTTTTGAGTTTATCTCAAAATTTTGAGCAAATCTGTTTATTTTGACTTCGAATTCGGATTCAGCGTGAAAAAATACATAGGAATATACTTTTGCAGTGTCACAGAAAAAATTTTTCATTTTCGTCATTTTAATTCGGTTTTTTGAGTCGTTTTTTGAGTTTAGCTCATAATTTTGAGCACATCTGTCAATTCTGACTTCGAATCCGGATTCAGCGGGAAAAAATACATGGAAATATGCTATTGTCATGTCGCAAAAAAAATTTTTAATTTTTTTGGTTCAAATTCGTGTTTTGAGTCGTTTTTTGAGTATAACTCAAAAAAAAGAACCAATTTGAGCATTCGGACTTCAGATTCGGATTCAGCGGCCAAAAATACATGGGAATATACTACTGTAGTGTCTCGGCCACGAAACTTTTTTTTTTGTGTGCCTGTGTCATAAAACCAAAAATTATATTTTTCAAAAATTTTTAAGTTTTTCTATTCTTGAAATTATATTATTTTTATCATTTTCACTTTTAAATTAGTCAAAATGACTATAATACCTCATTATGTTATGTATAAATATGTTGTATATATAATGAATATGTTCATTATGTTTCTAATATAATAATATTTTTAATTACAGTAATTTTATTGTAATTTCTTTTGAATAAAATTAACCTTACAAAATAGGGCAATTTTAAGAAAAACTGACGAGGCCCTGACCAGTTTTTCCCTAAGTAGGGCATTGGTCGGGAACAGCGTCACACACTAGTCGAGCACTGGTCAGTTTCTCTACCCAGAGCCACACCAGAGATCGGGAAAACTGTCCAGTACCCTATCAGGCCCACATTTTAATTTCTGCACGGGATGACGATTTTTTAAAAACATCCAAATAAAATATTGACCAAATGACTTCTGGAAAGTTTTGTTCTTTTTAAAATTTTATCATCTTTGAAAAAATAAAAAGAAAAAATTTTAGTTTCGATAAATTTTACTTTTTAAAATGATTTTCATTTATATCTGAAAATGGGTGGTTTTACAATTTTTACCGTTAGTTTATTCTTTATTTACAGTTATAAATTAATAATTATTTATGAATAATTTAACAACAAAATAGTAAAATAATTTTTATATATCAAATTTTGTGAAAGTATTTTATAAATTAGGGCAAAAGTGCTACAAAGCGAAATTTTGATATAAAAAATAAACTTTAAAAAAACTTTTGTGAAATTTAGTATATAATTATATCAAATATCAAAAATATTAATTAAATTTTAATATGACTTTACTAAATTTCACATAAGTTTTTTTTAAAGTTTAGTATTTTTTTAAGGAAAATATTTTTTCCCATAATGAGAAATAATAAAAAAACAACGATATTTTGATAAATTTTATACTTTCTTAATTTTGGATTTAATTTTCGAGTTACATATTTCACATGCGGAATGAGAGTAAAATGTGGATCAAACATTCTTTTTAAATTTGTAAACTATAGTGTTATTAGTGAAGTACAACAGAAGCTTATAGAGAGCAGCACTCATCAAAGACAATAATTGGATAAGCAAGAAATCCCTGCTTAAGTTTCCACTTATACAAGAAATCATTTTCTACTTTACCAACAATTGATTTGACTACAGTTTCAGGTAATTGATGGTAGGGGCGCTGATTTCATAGTTGGGTTTGTCCGTAATATCGCCTCTTCGATCGGTGCCAGATGTGTCTACAGTTTTCTGCCCTTGTCTGACACACGTAAAAACATGGACGGACGTGCATAAGACAAGGGCAGTGAAGTATAGGCACATACACAAACTATACATTTAATTACATTTCCACACGTGGTAGAGAGAACACAGTAGTACCCAGCAGTACCCAAGCTAACCTGAACTTTGAAACCATTTTGAATATTGTTATTGAGAAAATGACAGAAACGGAGTTTTGTTTGCGTCCCATGAAGTGCGAATTGAATGTTCTATCAGTTCCGGATGGATCTTCCATGTTTATGCAGGGTAATGTAACAAACTATGATTATTTCAAGGGAAAAGATTTTTTCATTATTTAGTATACATATTTACTTTATGACGCAAGTAAGCATTTTCGACCATCTTTTTTTTCTCTCCTATTAGAAGGATATTTGTATAATCACTCTTCTTTTGTTATTCTAAAATGCTAAAAAGTTCTTTTTCTTCTATTATTTTGAGAAGAAAAATTTTTTTCTGCAATCTCCTTACTTCAGTTTGGATCCTAACAAAATGTAAAATGACAAATAAATTCTAGGTCCGTGAACCTGGAACTATAGCATTGATAGGTTGAAACAAAATATATATACTATGTTTAGTGCTGAATTCCATTTGCATAGCTGCCTTATTGCACTTTTTGACATGAATTTGATATGAAAATTGTAATATTTTCTTATTTCTTCAACTCTAAGAATTAATGGACGTGTTTAGTATTTAATGCATTTCTAAATATGCTAATTAATTTTACCAAACAAGAATTTCAATAATTTCTAATTTTAAAATGCACTTGTGTTTTTGTGCTCACAATAAATATGTTTATTGAAAGTAGGTCATTTTTCGATAGTTTGTAGTACATGATTAAATTATAAAATCCTATTGATTAATTTTATTATGAATATTTTTACTTTTTTCCTATTATAAAATGTAACACTAACAAAATATCAAATGCGTTACTATCAAACACTTAATATAATGCTTGTGAGCGTATTTCTCTTCTCTCACTTTACCTTGTTTGGATATAAAAAAGTAAAAAATATTTTTTACATTTTCATTTAATTAGTGAATTTTTAAAAATTTTATTTTTAGTTTTATATTCTAAAAAACTAAAAAAGTAAAAAAAAATATACACTTATTTATTCATAAGCTACACGTAATATTATCATTGATTACAGGACAAAAAATCCAATCCAAAAAATCCAGACCGAAAAATCCATGAAAAAAAGTCCAAAGTACAAAAAATCCAAAATAAAAATGTCCAAAGTCAAAAAATTCAAAATAAATAAAAACGTCCAAAATAAATAATAAAATAAGGCAAATAAAATGAAAACATTCGGAAAATGAATATAAATATTTATTTACTCCAACTTTTTGAAATCTAAATGATTTCCTCTTCAGAGAGTCTATCCAAAAAATATATACAAAATTATAATAATAATAAAAAAATTATTTTAACAATATATAAAAATTGATGAACCAAAAATGAATAATTAAAATAAACGAAAACTTACATGATATGCCTTGACGATGGTGTAGAGTCTGGAGTCAGAAAATTATAATGGAACTTAATGTTAATAAAATAAAAATGAAATTAAATGAAAAAAATTAAGATAAAAATAACTAAATAAATAAAATTTAATAATTAAAGAATTGGTGAAAAATTAAATTTAAATTAATAATTAATAAAAGAATTAGTAAAAAACTGAAAATTATAATTAATGAGAATCAATATATAATGAAAAATAAATTTATGGAAAATTATGAAAAATTAATAAAAAAAATTAGTAATAAATAATACAGTAATAAGATAAATTAACATACCATAAATAAAAATAAATAAATAACGGTTCACAATACAGGGCATATCATTTAAGTCTTCGTTTATTTTAATTATTAATTTTTGGTGAGATAATTATTCATAAATTTTTATTGTTAGAATTTTTTTTTTATTAATAGGAAAGAAAAACGAAGACATTCAGACAAAGAAATTTTTATTATTATTATTATTTTAATTTCGTATATATTTTTTGGATAGACTTCCTGAAGAGGAAATCATTTAAATTTCGAAACGTTGGAGTAAATATTTATATTCATTGTCCGAATGTTTTCGTTTTATTTGCCTTATTTTATAAAAGATCTCGGATGTTAAAGATTATTTAACTAATAAATAACGTAACATGTGAAAAAGCCACGTATTTACTTTTGACGCTATAAAATCGGAATTTAAAATTTTAATGTTAAAATCGCAAGATTTTAATTATTTACATGAATAATAGAATATTATTCACACAAATTCAATTATTTTCATAAATAAAAAAATTTCTTGAAAAATTCAATTATTTTTACAAATAAAAAAATTTCAACCTATGCTATAAAATTTTTAAAAGAATTATTCCAAGAAATACAATATTATTTTCAACAATTTTGATAAAATTTTTTACAAAAATTTAATTATTTACATAAATAAAATTTTTTTTAGAAAAATTCAATTATTTTCACAAATTAAAAAATTTCTAGAAAAATTTAAATTATTCTATAAATTTTTTAAAACAATTATTATTCCAAGAAATACAATTATTTTCAACAATTTTGATAAAATTCTTCTTTACAAAAATTCAATTATTTTTTTTTTCAATATAATTCCAATTAAATTACTCGATTAATTTAATTATTTTTAGAAATTTCCAATGTTAAGTTTACTTACTTTCAATTCACAATCATCGAAATGATCAACTCAAAAAAAAGAACAATAAATTTCATTCAAGGCAACCATTTAAATTTTTATATCTCAATTTTTTTCATTGGATTTTTAATTTCTTTGGCCTTTTTGACCAAAACAAAAAAATCAAAAAATGAGTCCAAAGTACATTAAATTTCAATGATGGTATTGTATATTTGTTTTATATACAATTTATTATAAGAGGTAACCACTCTAGAGGCAGAAATAGGCCCAAAGTAAAAACCTAGTAAGTCGCCTTTGCCGTAAGGTTCAAAGTCGCCTACCGTTTAAGCGACTTTCGCCTTAACGGCAAATGCGACTTACTAGGTTTTTACTTTGGAGACTATTAAATAAGTAAAGTGTTTTTAAAGAGCTCAAAAATAATGAAATTAGATTTAAAATTCTACTGGAATTTAGTAAAAATTTGACCTGGAAATCATGGAAAAGGTATGGAATTTTAAATTCGGATTTCTGTAGGAATCCTGATTAGTGTAACGGAGGGAGTTACTGAGTGGAGTTTTAACATCACATTTATTTAATATTTCAGTAATTTGATAATTTTTTTTTAATTTTTCTTTATGATTTAACTAAAAACTTTAAAATCACAACATATGGCTACATATGGCTGGCCATTTTTTAATTACTTAAATTTTGTAGAATACCTATTGAAAATAAGTATTATTTTTAATTGGGTTTTACTGTACATTACATAGGAAAAATAAATTTAGCAGATTTTATAAAACTTACGGAGTAGCGGATACACATTGAGAGACCTTTGGGTCAGCAGCAGACTTTCGATAGACTGCTACTGACCATTTTGGTGGTACGCTACAGGACTATACTTTTGGGTTGCTGCGGTACAATTTTGGGCGCGTGACAGTCCAAAAGTTGATTAGCTGCAAACCAATGACGGCATCCCCACTACTTCGGTGAGCTTCTCACCAACATTTTGGACTGTCACTCGCCCAAAATTGTATCGCATCGCACTAAAACCATAGTGGAGCTGCTATCTCATACGTTGTTCCGCTGCAGTCCAAAAGGTCTCTCAGTGCAGCTTATTAGGAAACTGAGTTTATTTGATCGAAAATTTAACAGTTTGAATTTTTATTACTATCTTTTAGTACTATTTTATTATTAATTATTATTTATTTTACTATTTTATTATTAATGATGCAATAGAAATTTTTTTCATCGTGTTATGTAGTTTGTTTAGTCCCAATATAAAATGGCTCCACTGATTGCTTTTTTTACTATAGAATATTCTTGCTTTAAATCAAAGTATTTGAAAAAAATGAAAATGAAAAAATGAAACTTGAGACAATTGCAGGCCTCGGATATCTTGAAAAATGAGACTTTTTTCGACTTTTTCTTTAAAAAAATGCGACTTTTTCAACTTTTTTTCTTGTCTTAAAAAAAATATTTGTCTCAGAATTTCTCAAACGGATCACCTAAAACTAAAAAATTTTCTTATTGAACGAAAATATTCTTTTTTACTCTTAATATGCTAAAAATATTAAGCCAAAAAATTTTTTTTGTTAAAGTTCTTAACAATTGAATTTTTTAATACTGCTAAGTTAACAAATTTTTTTCTCGAGTTTCAGTTGACGGATTTAAAATTTTAAATGTCGGTTTTTTCGTCTTGAATTGCACTATTCGAATATATACATATTTTGTTTTTAAATTTTTTTTATTTTTATAATTTTTTTTATTATTTGTTTATAAAATGTCAATTAAAGAGGATAAAATTTCTAAGAAATCCCTCTAAACCAATTTTTGAATTTTAAATTGTTTATAATTTTTTTTACTCAAAGTTAACAATTTGCAATATTTTTTTAGAAAAAATCATGTTTATTTTTTTTATTTTTCATTGCAAATGATTGAAATCAATTTAAATTAGTCCAGCATGACCACCAGACAAATAATAATTTATAATACAATTTATTTAAATTGTTGCAAACAATCTTAATTAACAAATAGATAACTTTGGTTCTTTTTTATAAAAATTTTTTTTTTGCAGCCAAATTTATGTTTATTTAAGTAATCTATGTCGATTTTGGTAAAAAATTATTTTGAATCTAATAATTATCATTGTTGTAACAATCATATGAACAATAATGTAGTTAATACAATTTTTATTTTTTTGTTAGAACGTGAAGAACATATTTGTTTATTAACATTTTATAAACAAATAATATAAAAAATTATAAAAAATAAAAAAATTTAAAAACAAAATATATATTCAAATTGTGCAATTCAAGACGAAAAAAACCCATATTCAAATTTTCATATTCAAATTTTAAATCCGTCAACTGGAACTCGAAAAAAAATTTGTTAATTTAGCAGTACTAAAAAATTCAATTGTTAATAACTTTTACAAAAATTTTTTTTTTTGCTTAATATTTTAAGGGATTCTTCTTAACCATAATAAGAGTACAAAAAATATTTTGTTAAAAGAAAATTTTTTAGTTTTAGGTGATCCGTTTGAGAAATTCTGACCTATTATTAATATTTGTTGAAAACAGTATCTTAAATAAGAAAAGTATTATTGATTTTATTAATTACTGTTATTCTAATATTATTATCATAATTATTTATTTCGTTTGTAAACATTTATGCGTAAAATTTATATATATCATTTTATTTTCTAAAATTTTTAATAAAATATTAGATAACTTTTTATGTCAAAATTTTGTTATTCGATTGCAATAATAAACCCTATGTTCGTAGAGTACATTGTTTTGTTACTTGAATTGGAAATAATCAAAATATTAAAATCGACTTTTTCGACTTTTTTTAAGATTTCAATCGACTTTTTCGACTTTTTTCAAGATTACAATCGACTTTTTCGACTTTTTTCAACTACAAAAGTCGATCCGAGGCCTGCAATTGGGATACATAACCTTTACTACGATTCTATTTTACTCTTAAAATTGCTTTTGAAGTGTAACTTTTAACTAATTATTATTTATTGTTAAAATAGATGGAATATAATTGGATTAAATTTTTTAGGTGATACATCTATAATATCAGCTGTCTATGGACCGGTTGAAGCGAAGGTGCAGAAAATGCTGTATGATAAAGCTCATGTTGAAGTGACATACAATGCAGCAAAAGGACCGCCAAGTATGTTTAAATTTATAATTTGTTTTAAAATTTTTTCTTTTTTTTGCTTCACTACTCTAGTAGTGCAAAATCTATAATTGGCGACAAGTTTACAAAAATTGAAAAGTTTTTCTACTAATATTAACGATAACACAGAAGGATTTTTAGTTTAACTTCTACATAACATGTGTAAAATTTAGATACATTGAGTTTATATTACATGCTAACAAATTTTAAAAGTTTGTAATAATACTTTTATCTTTAGGTGTGAATGGTAGAGTGATGGAGAAGTATATAAAGGACAGTTGTGAATCTGCAATTATGACAACTTTACATCCTGGGGCATCAGTTTCAATAAATGTACAGGAGCTTCAGGATTCAGGAGGGGTAATTGAAATATTTTAATTCTACTGCAATTATTTTTAGCCTAAATTATTGACCCAACCGTCAGTTAACTTTAACTGTCAGATAGTCATAAGAAATAAAATAAAATAATATGTAATTTTATGAGACACTTTTTTCCAAGTATTGAAACAAGATACTACTTTTTTGGTATAATAAATACAAATTACTTCTATTTTTACAGTGTAAAAAAAATCTAGTCAAATATTTCAAAATTTATTTTTGATCAATTTTTCTATAATATAATTAAATTTTCGAAATTTGTATATAAAAATATGTTTCTGTAAATAATTGAAATTTTGTAAAATTTTATTTTCAAAACATTAATTTTTTAAAATGTAATACTTAAGTAATTTTTGAAAATCACATTTTAAAAATTGCAAATTTGGTTAATTAATTTCAAATTTTTAAAATAATTTAATTCTCAAAAATTATAATGAAAAATCAAGATGAAAATTAGTTTTAAAAAAATGATATTAATAAATTACTTCAAAAAAAAAACAATTCTTATAAGTTTTACATTCTCATTTTATTATTAATTTTTAAAATTTCATTATTTTAAATATTTTGAATTACATATTTAATAATAAAAAATAAAAAAATCGGAATGAATAGAAAAATAACAATTGGAATTTTGTACAAAAGCAAAGTTTCCCATATGAGGAAGCAATATTTATTAAAGTAGTTTTTGATAATTTAAATTAAAAAATGACTTTACTTTAAGTGAAAATTATTTTTCTTTTTACAGATCTTAGCCTGCGCTTTAAATGCTTCTTGTCTTGCATTGATTAACGCCAGTGTATCCATGAAGTACACTGTTGCTGCTGTACACTGCATGATTGATAAAGATTCTGACCAGATAATTGTCGATCCTGACAATGTTCAAATTCAGGTAAACTAATTGAATTAAGAATACATAAAGAAAATTTCAAAAAACAAATAACCTGTAAGTTTACAGCAAGCTAGAACCACAAGTTTTGTAACCTTACAAATTTGTTACCACTTCAATGAAGGAGAACAGAAATTTGGTACCACTTTTACTAAAGAAAGCAATATAAAGCATAATTGATGATCTTTTTGGAAGGATATAGAATTTTATACAAAAATATAAATTTCGATTGGTCAATCACAATTTCTAATTCAGAAATAACTGTCTTACAACTGAAAAAAACACATAAGCGACAAATAGGAAGAATGAAGAATTTTTAGAAAAAACGTTTGCATTAAAAACTTTATTTAGAACTCTTATTTCATGAATAAATATGGGGTCAATGTACCAGTGAATGAAGAAAATATTTTTTAAATTCAAAATGGCGGACATTGGATTTAAAAAATTTAGTATCTAAAGGATTGAAAAACCACTGATTACGAATTTAACATCAGTTTTCAAAAATTCGAAATGGGGGATCCAATATGGTGGAGATTAAATTTGAAAAATTTGAGAAAATTTCACAAAATTTGGTATCTATGAGTTTTAAAGGCCACCAATTACGAAATTAGAGTCAGTTTTTTAAAATTCAAAATTGATGATCCAATATAGAGGACATTAAATTTGAAAAATTGATGAATTTTCAAAATCATTGAAAATGATTCGTTGACAAATCATAGAGGGTGTATAAGCAAATAAATAAAAATTTAATCAAATTTTCCATCTGTCTTAATCGCCTTGGGCATTTCGAGAAATGCCTACGAAATTTCCGGCAATGCCTAGGAAATTTGAAAATTTTCTAACATTTCAGAAATTATCCGAATTTCCTAGTAATTCTTACATATTTCAAAACTTCGGGTTTTGCCAGTAACGTATATATTACTTCTTTGTGAAAAAGATGAAATATTGGATTTTTAAACATCTATGAGGTCTCTAACAATTAGTTTTGATTTAGCCATAAAAAAATTAAGATATTTTTAAAATTCAAAATGACGGATCCAATATGGCAGACATTGGATTTAAAAAATTGACCAATTTAAAAAAATTAATATATAAGGGATTTAAAGACCACTGATTACGAATTTAACATCAGTTTTCAAAAATCCAAAATGACGGATCCAATATGAGGCATTTTACGTGAAATATCCTAAGTTGAAATTTCAACTTCTTGAAAAAAATTGAAACTCAGGGAATTTGTTGTTCTATCAAGTAGAAATGTGCCCCAAAAAACATTTTGGACTTTTTCGAAAATTTGAAGGGGGCAGAGGGGGGTCAATTTTACCAATTCTCCTAACACTGTCTACTTTATAATTTTTTTTTGTCCACACTTTTAATGGGAAAAATTTTATAGAAATTCTGAAAAGTTTTTCTTCTGAAAAGTTTTTTCATGCTCTTTCCAATGGTGAATTTTATTTTTTTATATTTTAATAATTGATCCTAATTTTTGATAATTAATATTTAACTTTCAATTTCCCAAAAATCGATCCGTTTTATTTGAAAATAAATTATTGCAAACGAAAGCTGAAGTTTTTTCTTGGGGGTCGTTCATATATATTACTTAACACTTTTTGGGGGGAGGGGGGGGGCTAGTTATTTGTTACGATAAGCAAAAAAAATGGTGCTAATGTATGTATGTATGTAACAGACTACTGATTCGAATTTAACATCAATTTTCAAAAATTTAAAATGTTGGATACAATATGGTGGACATTGAATTTGAAAAATTGACCAATTTTTACAAAATATGGTGTCTAAGTGATTCAAAGACGTCAAATTACGAATTTTTTGCAAGTTTCTGGTTTGGTCTAAAGTGTGACGCCAAAATAAATGAGCCATGATTATAGATTTATCTTGGCTCAAAGCTGGTCAAAGTTTTATTTGGGATGTATGAATATTCCACAACTGACAAACAACCAAAAAGTCATTTAACAGAAAAATATTTAACATAATTGACAATTAACAGAATTGACAAGTAACAGAATTGTCAATTAACAGAATTGTCATGCAACAGAATTGACATTTGGGTAAGACTCCGTCAGAAAAAAAGCGATTTGCAAGTGGTCTTCCGATTTCTTTGAAACCTTGGAAAAAATAGTCTTATATGAGTTACATTTAATCCTAAAAGGATTTTGAAAAATTTCCAAAATGGCGTCCGTTACGCTATGCTCAAAATGAGTGTTGCGTTTTTTTCAAAATTTAATATTTCTGAAACTTTTTGATCGATTTTAATTAAAATTTACAGGCAAAATAGTTAAAAGTACGTAGTTTACTTTAATTTTATGACCAAACAAAATATCAAAATTTTGATAAAAAAAAAGTAAAAAAAAATTTTTGAGTTATTTTTTAGCTCAGTTAGCCTAATTTTTGAATTTTCTAATAAGCAAATATAGATATTTTATAATTTCACCTTTCATTTAATTAAGACAAATTTATGGAGACTTTAATGGTTTTCGAGATATTGCGAATTTAGTGAGTGCGCGTACCACGGAATTATACTCCGTATCGAGGCGGAATATCCCTTTCAGTCAATCAATTAGGATAATAGTCAAAGCATTGTATTAAAAAAATGATATTATATATAAAATATATCAAATCTAACACAAGGATTTTCGAATATATCCACAAAATTTTTTGAATAACTTTTTCTATATAGAAATTTTAATTAATTCTTGTCAAAATTGTATTCCTGTCATGAAAATGAATTGATTCTTTTATAAAAAGTGTACATTTCACCAATATTTAGAATTAATAGTTATTTCTATTTTTCACAAAATATTCAAAATTTGTATTATTTTAAATTTTATCTTAACATTTTAAAATAACTATTCTATAATAAAAAATTAAACAATTGGTATATATTATATTGAGGAAGCTAAATGGTCATAAAATGAATCTTTGTATTTTGTAAATTTTGAAATTCTGACTCCGGATTCATATTTAGCGACTCCAAAAACTTTTTTGACAATAGTGTTTACAATGCTTTGACTATTATCCTAATTGCGTGACTGAAAGGGATATTCCACCTCGATACGGAGTATAATTCCGCGGTACGCGCTTCCACTAAATTCGCAATATCTCGAAAACTATTAAAGTCTTCAAAAATTAATTTATTTAAATGAAAGGTGAAACTATAAGGAATCTATATTTGTTTATTAGAAAATTCAAAAATTAGGTCAACTGAGCTAAAAATTCGTTCTGGTACAAAAGGTCCAAATCAAAAGATCCAAAAAATTAAAAATCCAAAAGGGCAAAAAGTCCAAACAAAAAAAATATATTTTCTATTGTTTTTATTTCATTTTTTTTAATTTAAAAATTCAAAAAGATAAAAAGTGCAAAAAAATATATGTTCTATTGTTTTTATTGCTTCCTCATAAAACCCATTTTTTAAAATTGCTTTACGATTTTTAAAAAAAAAAGTTATGTAGATTTGAAATTTTTTTATTTAGGCAAATGTAGGTACAAAGAAGTTCAAAATGGCATTTAATTTCAAATCTACATAACTTTTTTTTAAAAAAACGTAAAGCAATTTTGAAAAATGGGTTTTAAAGCTTAGATATAGTACTATACGATGCAATTTCGCAAATTGAAAAAAAAAAATTGGTTAACCAAAAAAAAATTCCGAAAAGTGGCCAAAATAGCCATTTTTTGGCTATTTAAGTCAATATTACAAGAAATCCTGACGTGATGGGCCATTTCGGAAATCGGATTCGTATTCTATACGTCAAAAAAGCTATAAGAATTACCTACCACTTTTTCTGTAACAGAACTAAGACAAATTTGAAGGCCTGTGTAATTATACATATTTTGGACAATTTGCAATTTTGGACTTTTTGTACTCTTGGATTTTTTGTACTTTGGATAAATAAATTTTTGGACCTTATGGATTGGACCTTTCGTCTTGGACCTTTCGGATTGGATCTTTTGTACCCCAATCCTAAAAATTAACTCATAAATTGTTTTTGACATTTTTTATCTAAATTTTGAAATGTTTTTTGGTCATAAAGTTAAAGTAAACTACGTACTTTTAACTATTTTGCCTGTAAATTTTATCAAAATTGATTAAAAAGTTTCAGAGATATTAAATTTTAAGATAACGCAACACTCATGTTCAACATAGCGTAGCGGCATCCATTTTGAAATTTTTTTTAAAAATTCTTTTTTGGATTAAATGTAATTCATATAAGACTATTGATATAACAGAATTGATATTTAACATAATTGTCGTGCTGCAGAATTGACATTTATCACAATTGTCATGCAACAGAATTAATATTTATCACAATTGTCATGCAACAGAATTGATATTTAACATAATTGTCATGCTACAGAATTGACATTAACACAATTGGCATGCAACAGAATTGTCATGCAACAAAATTGGCATGTAACTGAATTGATATTTTACATAATTATTTCAGCGCGAATTTTTAATTTGACCAATGTCTGTTGCATAGAAATTGTGTTAAATGTCAATGCAATTGAATGGAGAGCGTTCACAAAAAATGATGTCTCGCAAAAACGTGACATCATTTGTGAACGCTTTCATGTCAATTTTTTTACATGACATTTCTGTTAAATGTAGAGCTGTGCGAAATTCGATTCGAACCGAGTTTTGTTCGGTTTTGGGGCGCCGAAAATTCGACACTTGAATCTCCTAGTTCGAGTGTCGGATGTCGAAAACTAGGCTAATTCGAATGTCGGTTTTTCGACATTCGAACTGGAGTGACTCGAACTAGACTATTGAAATGTCGAATTTTAGAATTCGACATTTTAGCGTTCCAAAACCGAACAAAACTCGGTTCGGTTCGAATTTTGTAGTAACTCGAATGTCGAATTTTCGACATTCGAATTGGGCTAGTTCGAATTTTCGACATTCGAACTAAGCAAACTCGAATGTCGAATTTTTGACATTCGAACTAGGCGAAAAAATTCAAACAGTTTGGTTCGAATTATTTTGCACAGCTCTAGTTAAATGTCAATTATGTTGCATGACAATTCTGTTACATGTCAATTCTGTTGAATTTTAATTCTGTTACTTCTCAATTTTGTTGTATGTCAATTATGTTAAATATTTTTCTGTTAAATGACTTTGGTTGTTTGGCAGTTGTGGAATATTCATGCGTTCTTTTTATTTAGAGACTTAAATGTCATAGTTTAAAACTGGTGAATAACATAATAAATGTTTCATACAAATATAAAATCGGTACACATATTTGCTAAGGTCTTTTGTGAAATAAACAATCCTTTTAATTTTGAATGTCTTAAAGATATACCAAGAAAATATATAATGGTACTAAATTCTAGTTTTTGTAGTTATTTTTTTCTACTGGGGAGAAGAGGAAAATGCTTTTAACGCATGCCCAGGAAACTCTCATTTCGCTAGGGTTTGACGGGCTCAGCACAAAATGCAAAGATAAAAAACCTTGCATACATGCTGTAAGCAGTCACCAATACCAAGCAAAATCCTCTTCTTGATTCCCCTGGGTTTCGAACCTTCTATCCACGTACGGAACTACCTTTCGGCTTCAGACTTTGCAGATAAATTGTCCCATTTAGTCGTTGCCACGACTCTACCTTGCCGCTCTTGTTCTGGCCTTATTTTCTCCTTGTCCTTTATAAAGATTTCTTTGCTTCCTCTAGGGCAGTTCTTAAGACTTTGCATCTTCCTGATCCATGCTTGATATTCTCCTTTTTGCTGAACTTCGCCTGGCATAAGAAGCAGCATGGACTCTTCTTGCAATCAGCTATCTTATGGCCGGCTTCTCCGCACTTGAAGCACGCAGCCGGCCTATCTACTGCTTGGCAGCCTCGACCTATATGGCCGTAGTCAAGACACCTATGAGACCTCTTGGCCATAACTCTTCTTCTAACCTTGCAGGACATAAAACCAATCTTAATGTGCCCCATTTTTTCCAGCTTATTAGCGTCCTTTTATTGGCTAGTGACTACGACAGCGAGCTTTATTCCTCGCTTGTTTGGTCCAAGGACCGCCACCTTTCTGCTACCTGCTGGTACCGTAGAAATTTTTTCCATGGCATCCTGAACGTCTTTCTTTTCTGTAAGGGCATCCAATTACCTACCTACTAGAACTCCAATTGAGGCTCCGCATCCTAAAAGGGCACTCTGACCAAGTTAATTAATCCCTGGTAGAACTTTTCATTTTTTTTGGTCGCTGTTGCGTGCTTCTCCTTGACACCCTGTATGAGCGATGTTAAGCTTCTGAGTCCATCAATGATTGTCATATTGTCATTCTTCTGGACTTCACAGGACTCAGCATCTTACTGACCTCTTTCTCCATTTTTAGAATGCTCGCTGCCTCTTCTTCCCTCAGCTTAATGCATTCATCTCTATCTTCATTACAGTTGGCAATTGTGAACCTTGTTCACAATGATCTGTGGTACTCCCAACGCGTTGTTGCGCTCCTGAATCCTTAGACCACTGGCCACCGTCCTCACACCAGGTGCTTGACGATCGAAACCAGTGAGGTATTTAGCCGAAGCATTACCCCACAAGTACTCTTCCTTATTTCTACAATCGCTCATACTTTTCTTTTTGCTGGTTTTGGTCCACGACGAGTATTTGATTTCCTCGATACCACCTATTTCTAGGAAGCAACCCTATCCGCCACCTGGGACGCGTCCGATAGAGGACCAGCAACCCCGCGCAAGAGAACAAGTCCTAATGCGCTGCAGTTAGAATAAAGTTCCAACTGAACACAGATACTTTTGTAGATATTAGATTCTACTAAATAGAATTTATAGATTTGGACTGATTTAGTATATAATAGTCAGATACACTGAACAAATTCTATATGCAATTAAAAAATTGCAGTTGTACATTCTACTAAGTAAGCAGTTAGCTCTAGGGGAGTGTGTCTAGTTGTGAGACGGGTTTTATTTTTGACCTATGAATTGTAAATGGGTAAACGAAATTGTAATTAAAATACACCGTTCAAAAAGTAACTTAAATACTAACTTTTATTCGAAGAAAGTGTAGTGTTCAGGTGGACTCGAAAAATTTTATGATCAATTTTCCGAGCACATTGTTTGTGTCATGGTTGGCCATGGTCATGGTTGGTCAGACGGTTAACAAAACTGCGAGGAATTGAGTATAAAAAAAGCTTGGAAAAAATAATAATAGAAGATTAAAAAGTTTTTGGCTGGCCCAACTTTGGGCAATGGTTGACCTGAAGGTTGGAAAAACTCTGAGGAACTTAGTTCAAGAGATTTAAAATTTTTGTTTGGCCAAACTCTAAACCACTATTTTTATATAATCCCATACAAGTGTAACATAGTGGTCAGAGTATAAGGTTGAGGTTTCGATGAATTTTTCAAAAAAGTGTCTGCCATATTGGATTCGCCATTTAAAATTTCTAAAAACTGCCTTGAAATTAGTAATCAGCGACCCAGAAAACATCTGAGTAACGAGTTTCAAGCAAATCCAATGAATTTTTCAAAAAAGTGTCTGCCACATTGGATCCGACATTTTACATTTTCATAAACTGACTTTAAATTAGTAATCATCGATCCCGATTTTTGATTTAGTTTTCATATGATCTGATTAAATCATGTTGGATGCTATCATTAGGACGTCAACGTTTTAAACAATTATTATTATGAAATGAGATGAGCGCATCCAATTTTTCCATTCATTCGCTCCAGTTGTATTACGGACTGATAGACTGGCACTTTTACTTTTGTATGAATAGAAACTTTTTGAACTTTTGTTTTCTAAGGGATTTAATCGGTATGAAATGAGAAAAAAAGTAGCTTTAATTTCCAATACTTCACCCACATGTTGTCTCTCTTCCTATTCCACAAACGCCCTGATAGACTTACGTTTCTCTTTTCTATATGTTCTCAGTAAACTATATTCAAATCTACAGCGACCAGCATGAAATATGAAAGTAAAATTTATTGCTTGCTGGCTCCCGGATTGTAACTAATTACAAATTAAATTACAACAAATTATTTTTATTATATAATTTATCTTCTGAAGTGATAATATATATTTAAAAGAAGAAAATTAAAGTGAATAAAAAAGTTCAGTGTGAGAAAAAAATCTTTTAATTAGATTTTAATAAATCTTATTTAATTCAAATTAATTGTTTTTATGCATTGAAATTAAACCACTGCATTTGAATTATGTTGCAAAGTTAACTTACTTTAAGAGAGTATTCTGGTCTATAGGCCTCAATTTCAGGCGTTTTTCCGAGTAGAATAAAAAGGAAAGTTTAACATTTTTAGTATTTACTTTTCTTGCAAGTTGTTTATTAATGTTTAAAGAGTACAGAAAAAAATTAGGAAACAAAATAATAAAAAAATTTAAAAGTTATAAACTGATGAAGTGGGGACTGAAAAAAAGAAAGTGCGTACTGGTTGACAGTGTGGAGACTTTTGTAATGTTCTAAAACAAAAAACTCAAAGAAATTCTTGATTATTAAAGGCTTCGCTATGGTCGGTACCTTGGAAAAGAAAAAATAAAATTTTTTAGCAAAATGGCGACGATTTAAAAAAAATGGTGTTTTTTGATTCTGTTTTTTAACTTTTTTGAATTTTTTAAAAATAGTAAAAAAATATATTTTTCAAAATCCAAGGTTTCGACTATAAAGAGATATACAAAGAACATTTCTGCAAAATTTGAAGTAAATCGGTTGAGAAGATTTTGAGTTATCGTGCCAACAAGAATTTTTTTCAATTCACACTTCACCAGTTCATAACTTTTAAAATTTTTGATTATTTTTTTTAAAGAAACAAAAAAACAAGTTTTTTATTATTAATTTTAATAAGAATTCAATCTGAAAAATTACTTTTCTCACATTAGAAGAGAAAATTCTATTTTAAGGAATGAAATATTTTTTCTGTTTAGTACTGGATTTGAATTAAATATAAAGAAGGCAAAAAAGACATTAACCTTTAGAGAGCTGATAAATTTGCACAAATTTTAGTAGTTTTTTATTACAAAAAATAAAATAAGAAGGGTGGCCACTATACTGGCCACCCTGGTCCTCTAAAGTTTAATCTATAATAATTTCCTTTCTTCAAATGCGCTAACTTTATAAGAATTTATATGAAAATTTATTTTTATAACAAAAGTCATCTAAAATCGAAACTTTTTTTTACTGTTTTCAGAACTCACGAGCTTCGTTCACTTATGCTTTTGATAGTGTCAGAAAGGACGTTATCTGTTGCCACACAACTGGTACTTTCTTGGAGAAAGATTTAATTGCAACTAAAAAGTGTTGTAAAAATGCATGTCAATATATTTTTGATTTCTACAGAGAAATTGTAAAAAAATATGCAAACATTATTTAAATGGAGTTTGAATTTTTTCCATAAATATTATATGCACTCTTATTAATCTAGCTTCTAAAGTAAACTTCACAACATTTCAATTAAAATTCTAGTAATTTACAGAATAAGAAAATTTGTTCGTTTTTTTAGAAAATGTATCATTCACAAAACTTTTTACCATTAAGACAATCTTATTACCATGTGCGAGTAAATCGTTCTATATGTTGTAATATTGATATTCCAATAAAATAAATAATATTAATTATATGTGAATTTAATTTATCAAACTGAACCTCAAAATTTTATAATATACGGAAAATTTTGAAATTATGTTTTTACTCTTCAGATATATGAATGATAAAGTAGAATGTGAAAGAGACTTCTTGAGGTTTGAAGTAGATGGCAAGCTCTACTTGTCTGAATGATACTGCCCTCAAGTGCTAAATATTTGAATTATAAGCTACATATGAAATTTTTGTTAAGTTATATAATTCCCGCTTTTCGCGGAAATGTCCTTTTTTTATTTTTTTGGTAAAATTTTTATTTTTCTAGAAAAACAATTTTATTTTTTATTATTTTTTAATTCTTCATTTATAACTTTATGTTTTTTAAATTCCAATTTTAATTAATTTTGATTTTATATTAATTATTTGTAATTTTTCGATGTTATAATTTTAAAATCATCTTTATTTACTAATTTTTTTGTTTATTCTTCGAATTCATTGCATTATTTTGAATGAACTCTCTGATGAGGAAGTCATTTAGATTTTGAAATGTTGGAGCAAAAAATATTTATTTTGCAACAGAAAGTCTAAAAACAATAATTTCGGGGAAAGTTCGTTCGGTAAAAATATTTTCGGTATAATATCATTCGGTAACAAATTTTTCGGGAAAATTGATTCGGAAAAAGTTCATTCGGTAAAAATATTTTCGGTATAATATCATTCGGTAACAAATTTTTCAGGAAAATTGATTCGGGGAAAGTTCATTCGGTGAAAAAGCATTCGGTAAAATTGATTCGGGGAAGTGACCGGGAATCTAAATTAAATTTACATATAGTAGAAGATTCATTAAAAACTTTTTAAAATATTTTTTAAATTTTTGCACATTAGTTGAATATAAAAGATAAAATCGTATGATAATGAGCATACTGAAATATTTAGGGAAACTTCTCTAAAGCTTTTATAGTAAAAAATTTTCCTAAAACCTACAGGAAGGTTTGTGTTTTATTATTAGTACATCTTTATGTTACACAATTATTGAAAACTTAATTATTCTGTTTAATTTTTCACCGATATTAACAAAGAAGATATTAAACATTAATTATAAAAAATTTTATATTCTATTTTTATGTGAAAAAATATATCTTCAAAACAAACAATTTTTTGGCCAAAAAAATTATCTTTAGTCAGCTTTAGGTTTTAGCATTATTTTTAATTAATTTAAGCTTTTCATAAATGATGTTACAAGAGTCCTGCAAGAACCACGCCCGATCACCAATCACGTTGGCATCGTCGTGCCCTTTGTTTCCTGGCTGGACAGAAACCCTAACAGAAGAGCAAAAGCATCTCTGGTTAAGGACTCGGTGGCCATCGTTGGACGTCCATTAAATACAGAAATAAGGCTTCCAAGCGCGCCCTGAACCGAGTCAAACCAGATTCTGTTGCACAAGGCCCCAACTGTGGAGAATAAGATGGAAAATAAGAAAGAGAGACAGAAAGAAAAAGAAAGACAGAAAAATGGAGAGCCGGGTCAGACCGGGCTAACGTTTAGCTGAGGTCGCCCGAGGCCCTCAGACCATTAACAAGGAGCGCAGCAATTTATGGACGGACTCGCTCATTTCCACTTTATTATTATTTTCTCATCTCATAGATGGATTTTTTTCTTCACTTTATTTACGTTTTCATTTTTTTTTTTTTTTTTTTTTTTTTTTATTTCAACCCACGCTATTCGACCATTTTTTCTCTTATTTCCTTTTGAAATACATGTTTCTTTGCAAAAAAAAGGAAGAATTATCAAATATTTTGTTAGCAGTAAATTCACTGTTAAATCTTATTTATATTTGCGATTATTGCAGATTTGTGATAATTGTTTTAGAGTAACAGAAACATTATTTTTTTTATGTAAATATTCGATTTGAAAATTGAGAATTCAAAAATCTTTTCGAAAATCTATTTCCATAGAATTTTAATGTTTACATATTTAAATTAATATTTTGTTTCCAAAATTCTACTAATTTGTCATTTGAGATCTCAAACTTTCGCTTTTCTAAAAGAACATATAAAATGTTTAGAATTGATAAGAACAGTGTAAAACAAGAATTTATTGCCTTAATCCGCCTCTTCCCATCAACCATACAGAGGGCCTTACGTCTCTTTTTTTTTCTTTTTTACTTCACATTCGCTTTTAGAATGTGTGTGTGTGTAGCATATCTTCTTCAGATTTCAATATGAATAACTATGGAATTTTTAATGTACGAAATGTCTTCACTCGATAAATTTGCATTTTCTTTAATCTCAAAATTTATGCAAATTGAATTTTAAATTTTTATGAGTTGGAATGGCCAAAAATTATTATTATTAATTTAAAAAATCAGAATTATAGAAATAAAAAAAATTCTAAACTAGAGATAATTTTATATGGTTTATATTCTTTAATTTTTGTCAGTATAAACAAATTTCGATACATTTTCTTAAAGAAAATGTATCAAAATTTGTTTATACTGACAAAAATTGTATTTTTAAAATAATCAATTATCACTATTGTATTTCTAAAGAAGTAATTTCATATTATGATGTAAATTTTTATTACCAACTCGAGCAAACCAGGTTCGTCTAACTTCCATCGTTGTATTCATCTTCCCCATGTTTCATAATTTTTTTTCTCCTATTTTTCAGTCTTGAGTTCTTGTGCTTCCTTTTTACTCCATGCGCCGATTGGTGCGAGGTCTGTAGTTATGAAATTAGTATGAGCGATCAACTCGAGGAAATAATCGCTTGGAAGGCTCCAGGATTGGACAATGGCTCGTATCTGAATATGTTACCACCAATCCTATCTTACTCAATTTTCATTGGTTCTAAAATATACGGTTTACCTCAAGATGGTAATTTTAGAAAAATTGTAACGTTCGGTTATTGATTCTAAGCTTTAGAAGTTTATTCCTTCAAACAGATAAGGCAATAAATTTTTAATCGATAAAAGACATACCTACATTTTAAATAATTATTTTTGGAATTTAATATTCGTAAATTGTAAATTTACTTGGTTATTGGGACAGTATAATTTGGAAAAGGAACCCGTGCGATCGATTTCAAATGCATTTTAATTTAAGTCTATTCGAAAGTTTTTGTTATTCTCGAACTAAATAAGATTTTTAAGATAATTTAACACGCTCGGATTAGTCTTTTTATTGTCTCGAATCTATCCAGTGTTTTTATATTCTCATCACTAATGAGAATATATATTAAATACAAATGTGATTTATTATGCTGTAATAACAAATCGTGTGGTATAATATTTTTTGTTTAGATGCGTATCTGGAGTCTCTTAAAATAAGATAATGTTATTTTATGTTTAAAATACAAATTACTTTCATCGTAATTGGTTTTAGCAAATTGAAAATTAAAATTATCATATTTTGAATAAGGAAAGTAAATAATAAAATGTTTAAGACAATGAAAATTATTTTGCCCAAAAAGTAAACTTAACAGTGTAGATAATATAATTAATGTTTTACGTCTGAGAAGGAGACCAGAAGCACTATTTGGAACATTCAAATGCGAATTTTAGTAAAAATTGTATAAAGATTTAAATTTACCGATTAAATAAATGTTCAGGAAAGTTTTAAGCTAAACATTTATTAATATTTATTAATATTCCAAACATTGCAAGTAAAGATTTAATAAATTTTTAGGAAAGTTTTAGTGCTGTGGAGGGTCTAACAGTGCAAAAACAAACTATATAATTTGCTTTTGTCTCTATCAAAGTTATAAATAAATTTTCAAATCTGCCAAATTAAAATCAGGGTTGCCATAAGTGAGGGAAGTCAGGGAAAAAGTTTTTTGTCAGGGAAATTTTTCAAAATTGAATGAAATCGATTTTTTAACACTTAACATTTTGAAAAATTCGTATTTTATGGGACGAATGATTATTTTGCATTTTATAGTTCAAATGTTCACTGTTTTGAGGTTTACCAAGTCGAATTTAATAAAAAATTTTAATTAAAAAATAAAAAATTTAATTAAAAACAATATTTGAAAAATCAACTTAACAGAATTTAATAAAATATAATTTATATTGAACAGAACAGTGCTTTTATATTACCGATTAATTTTTATTTAACCAAATTCTTATTCAACAGAATTTCTATTTAGCCGAAGTTTTATGAAGCAGATTTTCTAGTTTACCGAATTTTCATTTGAGGAAAAATCTGACAAATAATCGTAACAAAAGTTAGTCCAATGTCAAAATTTCGTATTTTAAAAGAGAAGATGGTATTAAATTTTAAATTCCTTTTGGTAGAAGCATAAGGAATTTAATTTTCTACAATTTGACCAATTTAAGGTTATATTTAAATAAAAATTATAATTTTTGGTCAATAATAAATGACTTAAGTAACATAACTGTCTGATTCTTCCTCAAAATTTCCATTCAACTGAATTCACATTTAACAAAATTTCTATTTGACAGGACTCTTAGTAAATTGAATTTTCATTAAACATCATTTTTATTTCAATAAATGTTTCATTAAGCATAATTCTCATTCAACTGAATTTCTACTCAGACAAATATTTAATAACAGAATTTCAATTGCACCAAATTTTCATTTGTTCGAGACTTTATTTTAACGAGTTATCAGTTAATTAAATTCTTCAAAAAATTGAATTTTTATTTGTCAGAATAACCGTCCGGTAGATAAATCAAAAATATTTCAGAGTGGGTTTCAAAATTGACCAATTTCAATTTTGTTAATATTTTCTGATGGGTTAATTTTCAAATATATGTCGAAATGTTTTGCCGAATGTTTAAGCAAATGAAAGATTTGTTCAATGAGAACTTAAATTTTTAATAATTACATAAAAATAACATTTTGTGATAATAACTATAATGTTCGGACCACTAGAGATTTCGAGAATTAACAATTCTAAAACCTCAAAATTCAACTAAATAGAAACAAAATACTCTGAAGTATATTTTTCTAGTTTTCAGTAGGAAGTTTTCTTCAGTAATACTAAAAGTTATTTTGGAAATATAAATTTTAATAGC